ATTTTAGAAATAGCAGTTTAAAATTACTTGAAAATAAGCTTGTATATTCACCAGTGACAGTTGAATAACAACACTAGACTCCATAATAAAATTAATCTTATTCATACAGTAAATCATGAAAGCAAAACAAAACTCACATTTTTAGGATGGCAGAAGAAAGTATGAAAATATACTTTTACAGCACGTTATTCCTACAACAAAATACTCTGAAAGCCATTATTATTACTCAGTTAACAGAAAAAATTAAATTAAATTAGAAAGATAAAAAGCACATGAGAGCATCCACCTTAGAGAGGGATGTCTTTGTGGAAGACTTTCTAAGGAAATGTAGCTTACACTCATGAATACCCATGCAGACATCACAAAAATGTCATGCAGCCAGTCCATTCACCATGACTGAAGCCAGGGTCAAGTTACGTATGTTCAGTAGTCTGCTTGGGCAACAGGAATCAGTTTTATGTCATTCCAATTGAAAAACTGTAATTATGATTTATATAAAAATGCATAACAGGGTGGAATCTATTAACAAGTAGGGTATACATATTCTGATATTCTAAAGCCAAAAATCCGGGTGAATTATTTACACACAATAAACTGCAGTTAGAAACCACACTAAAAAAAAGTCAATTGTATGGATATTCCCAAAGTAAAAAATTGTAAATCAAGAAATGCAAAAATTACAAGCCATTCTAAAATTTGCCTCTAGCTATGCAAATGTTTTTCTACCATGAAATTTCTTTTTAAGTCCTAGCTAAACAACTAAACAGTAAAAAAGAAATAGACGTATTTCCCTACATTAAAATACTTGGTACTTTCTGATTATCCACAACTCCATAAAAAAGTTATAAAAAATATTTTTGAAGCAAAGCATTATGCTGCCCAAATAGTCGTGCAGCAATTTTTTATGTCATCTAAAAGCATTTATGTGGCAACCCTATGTGTGTAGCACATGGTCAGTGGGGCAATGCCAAAGTTTTACTATGCCGAGCATGCACAATTTTCTGATTTTTTTAAAGCAAAAGTAGATTATTGCATACATGAAGTAAAAAAAGATTAACCAGTAAAAAGTGTGCAAACACTCTCCAAAGTCAGTTTGTGACTTTTTGGGTGAAGTGCAGATATATACCATATATTGGGTATTCTGAAAATGGCTGTTGCATTTCAATGCATTAACTTTATAAAAAATTAGCCAGTAAAAAGTTTTCAAATGCTCTCCAAAGTCAGTTTGTGACTTTTTGGGTGAAGTGCAAATATATACCATATATTGGCACCATATGTTTTTACAATATTTGGTCCCATACATATTTTTGTGTCTAATTAACTGATATTTTTCTTCACCCTCTGAGTGTTATGACTGGCTTTATCCGGTCATCAGAAGTTTTGCTACTTGGCATATATTAGCTTATACTTTAAGATATTTTGCTTTTTTACTTTCTTTAATAATGTAAATATCATCTTAATGAATGAAAGTTTATGAAAATACAGACTAAAACAAGTAATTATACAAACTGAATTAATAAGTGTTGTTTAAATGCTGGTCTTCGTGATGGATCTAAAATCCTGTGCCGCTCAGAGGGTTAACAATAATAATCATATTGACTGCATATAGGTTAAAGTGACCACATTTTCATTGAGACGAAGCGAGACAAATGGAATGAAATGAGAATTGTAATTTAGTTATGAAAGCAGGCCAATAATTCAAAAAAAAATTTTTTTTTATTGTATACATTCATATACTTGTCTATAAATATACAAAAATATATTTATTATTAACTATTGGTAAATATAAAAATATTTGTAAAAAAACAATAATTTGAATATTATGTTTTTTAATTAATTCAAAAAATTATGATTTTCTTTCATGGTCATATTTTTTATCCGACTGAATACTTTGCAATAGATTTGGATTTTTTTATTAAAATGTCGTGAAACTTCTCACATGAGTTGGTCAAATTATAATTTATGCTTAATACAGAGTTTAAAGTTTTAATGTTCAACTAACGTTTTTTGCAATTGTCCATATTTTATTGATACTAGAAAAACCACATTCTGTTGCTGTATTTGTTCCTGGAAGAGAAAGCACGTGTTCTACAATTTCCAAAATATTTTCATAGGGAATATTATTCTGTTTAAAATGAAGGAATAACTCCGTCCATTTTTTGTCTGTTTCCCCATTTGCATTCAACCAAGATTTAATTTTTTAATCAGTAACGTATCTTTTTTATTAATGACACCTCACCAAAAAGATCTTTTTCGCAAATATTATTTTTCGGAACATGGTTGCTAATATATTAAAAAGATTTTTTCACATATTCCCATAAAATCTCCTTTTTTAATGTTCCCCGATGAAAATTTTTAATATCCTCGAATTGAGCGGTACGTTATTCAAGATATTCCAAGCAGTTATTCTACAAATTTCTGACTTCTTTCAGAAAAATCAGGTTGTTTTATGGCACATTGGTTCTTCCAACCTAGTGATGTCCTTTCAAATAACTTAAGGAACGTAATCGTTATCAATTCTTTCTCGCAATTTTGTTTTTAAATTATTGATTTCATTTGACACTTCCGTAATTGAAATTTTGTCCCCTTCAATAATTTTCACAACATTGTGAAAAAATGTAGCTTGGTTGTGGACGAACTGAAGTCAAATTTGGCATGTGTTATTTTCAAAAAAGAGCTGCAATATTCCTGGACTTTTATCTTGTGATAAAAAGTATGATTTTAATGATTCGTATATTTTTAAAATATTTTCTACAGATGGTTAAAGAGTTAGCCATTGTGTTTTGCTGTAACCAATAATTCTTTTATATTTGAATTTTGTGCTTTCACATAAATCAAACTTTCAATACGTATAGTATATATATAAAAATACGAATAAATTTTTGCAATAATATTTTCAACATGGACTTAAGTAAGTCAAATGCTGTTTGAATAGTATTGTGTAGAATGTGCTCTGCACAACTAAGATTTGCATTAGTGTTATCCTCACAATAGGCAATAATTTTATTGTTCAAATTATTCTTTTTTAAAACAGTACTTATTGAATCAAAAATTATTTATGAAGTTTCACCCGGCAATGAAACAAAATCTAATATTCTAATTTTAATTCCTGTTTCTGGATCAAAAAGTCTAACAACTGTGGGAAATAATATTAAATCTTTGTGGTTGGAAGCATCATAATACATGGATATAAATGTGCATTTAAATTCTTTCTGCAACTGTCAAAACGAATATGGTGGAAAAACATTACAAATAATTGCTTCGGTTTTTGTCATTGCATATGCAAATTTTTTGTCATACAATGTTTTGATCATTTGAGACGTACAAGCAGTTTATCTGAAACTTTGTGGTTTATGGTGTGGAAAGCAAATAGCCTTTCAGCTAATGCTAGCTGTTCCTCCGTTGACAATACATATTCCTTGACGATTTTTATTTCTTTATATTCAATATAATAATTAATAAATAATAGGTAATATATTTTTATAGTACATTTAAAATAAGAAATGCAGATGTTTCCTAAAAAGCGAGACATTTAAAAAAATCGGAGGGACATTGGACAGTCCTCCAAAAAGCAGGGCATGTGGTCACTTTAATCTAGGTATTTATTGATGCAAAATGCGTTGATTGCGAAAATTGATGGGTCATTTTGCATCACTATTGGCACCTGCGGGTTATCTTCATAATGATGCCCAGCTGAAAGGTCCTGGCACCTTCATGCAAGCCTGCTAATGTTCTAAAATAGAGAAATAGGTTAGTCTATATTTTAGGGTATGCCTTGGATTATTGCCAAGTTGTTGTTTCATTTATTGCCAAGTTGTTGAAGCAAGTATAACAATCAATAGTTGGAAAATCATGGCACACAAGGAGCATATTTTAAGATACCATATAGTGTCATGTAATGAGGAGGTGGGCATTATTTAAAAAATTTGAAATGGATACAGCCAAGTTGTTACCTGCTGGGAATATCTTTACCCAAATCTAAAACTGTTACAATGTGTAAAGGTCAAGAATCAACAATTTTCACTGATGAAAAAAAAAAAATTTGGATACAATAACAAAGTTCAGAAAGGCATGTTGATGTTCAAGAAGCATTGCTGAACTGGCTCACAATTCCTAGCAGCAGCAGTCTGTTAATATTTGGACAAATGCTTCAGACACAGGCCAATGAATCTTCCAAACACTTTGAGAAGACTGATATTTATGCTTAAAGGACTAACTGGATAGGTTCCAGAAGCAGAACAACATTTCTTCAGGAAAAATCATAAAATCTGGATTTGTTTTCGAAATTGATGTTAAGGAATGGATAAAAAAAAATTGGGAGGGGAGGGAGAACAATGTATTTTGCAATGTATGAAAAGAAAAAAATATTCTTAACACTGATGAAGGCAGGCTGTTCTACAAGGCGATGTCAAAATAAATATCAAACTCTAAAGACCAAATAGGTACTAGTGGAAAGTTGTCAAAAATGCAAATCAAAACTTCTGTGTAGCAACATGAATCTCCTTCTGTGGTAGGCTTTTGGTAGCTGAAAAACCTCAAAATACAAGACAGCTGAAAAATGTGAAAATTCTTCCCGTTTCCTAAGCCCATGCTATGATCATTATCAAATACTTCATAATCTTCAAAACACTTCACCCATACTGTTTTAGTTCATTTTTAATTCTTACTGCCATATATAGAGTTAATTTTCTGTTGAAGTTTCATATACTGATACATGAAATTTTACAAACTGTTTAGTAAACTATTCATAAAGTAGATGATATCCCATTATCTTTATGATAATTCTCATAGAAAATATTTTGGTGTAGCTTTATTACATAGTACATTATAGTCATTGAAATAAATAGTATTGTAGTCTTTTATTATAAAAGAAAAAAATGAAAAGAATGACAGTTTATCTGTTTTCCACCGTATATTCTTTGGATTATACATGAATAAAGAGAACACTATAGAACTTCATATTACTCCCATAAATCTTTTCAATGAAATATAATACTTACAGTGGAATATCTCCCAGTAATGACTGTGTCCATCGAAAACGAGTTGTATATCGTAATTTGCTCTCACCTTTACCATCAGGAGATACTATCAACCCTAGAAGAAGACTTAAGTATCGCTCAAAAGCTGTGTTTAAGGTATCAGCCTCATGGTTTGGATCAGTTAGAAGATCCAAAAGCCTGTTCCTTGTCTGCCTTAATTCACTGCAAAGAAATAATAATTACAAGACAGTTTAAAATTAAATATAAAAATATTTAAAATATTCATAGCAACTCTATTTTATAAATTGCAAAGAAATTAATTTCTTACAGAAATATAAGTCTGGATGATTTGATTCAAAGCAAAAACCTATAAAAATCTCCCACTACATTTCTGAGACACACAATACTACTCATTTCTAAGAAAGGAAAAATGACAAAAATGTTTAGAAAAGAAAAACTATCATGTTTTCCTGTTTTTTACAAAATATTTTTAAAAATCATTAATGTGCATCACTCATCCAATTCAGAGAAATCTACAAAATTTAGAGAGCCTGTCAAAACTGGAAATACTGTTTAATCTCTATACTCAGCATGCTTCCCACCTCCTATGACTTTATACCACCTGAATACTCTTAAATCATGATCTTTTCGGTTTCAATTTCTCTTCGAGGAAAAGAAATTATACAAAGCAAGGTGTTGTTGACTCCATGCTTTAAAAAATATAGAAAGAGAACAATAGTTAACCATGCAATTAACACACAGCTGGAAGCAGTGTAATTATTTCAGTATTTCATGAAATTTAAAATACGAGCTCAGAACTGACCTCAGAAAAAAAACGGGCACATCTGAAAATAAGCAGGACTTTGATAATGCATTAATCTGGACTTTCTGATGCTGAAAGCATATGTAAGTAACATAAAGATTAAGTTCTTAGTATAAAAATTTTGTTTCCATTTAAAAATAAAAAGGGTTAAAGAAAGTACACTAAATCACTCAAAGGCAAAAGAAAGCAAGGCTGTATCCTCAAGAGGAAAGAATTTTATTTTGATACACAAAAGTGAACTGCATGAAACAGGGCTTACATAAATTAAAAAACTTAAAATAGCTTGATTCGACTGACTGCCCATTCTATATATTGTCCTTTATTGCTGATCATCATCTGAAGATACCGACACAGCTTATTTCTCAGAATCCTATACTTAAATGCCAATATCTCAGTCTTTTTCTCAGAGTTTTGGAAATTCAGAAACTCAGTACTTAAAATATATATGAATTTGAAGAGTCTACAAAGAAACAATTTTTTTGTGAAAATTAAAGTAATACAGTACAAAGTCCGTAATCCGGACTCCTTGAGGCTTCAGCGATTTCGGATTAGGGGTTTTTCCGGATTATAGATCATCAGTTTAAATCTGGTAAGATGGCATGCAGAAATTATACAATTAAAAATATGAAACAGTAATTTATACAATAAAGAGCAATTATGATTTAAAGGGTATCAAAATTTGCAAAAAAAAAAAAAGCTTAATATTTGTTTACTTTATTAAACATTTCTTTCAGTGTAAGTTATTTAAGTTGCTTCGTTTTTTGTGTTAATACTTTCCCTTTAATTCTATAAACAGACATAATTTCTTGTTCAGTTACAAGGTTCCACAGTTCAAGTCCTGTAATTGCTGTGTTGAGAATACTGACTAACTTGTCAATCGAAATTTTTTCGTTCTCAAAAACCTCTCTGTCACTTTCTTCACTATTGGAAGCAGCGCATGGGTAAACGCTTTACTGGCTTTACGTGCATGTGTAAACGTATTACACGAATGCATGAGTTTGTGGCTTTGAGGTCCGGATTATTGATCCAGATAATGGATGTCCGGATTATGGACTTTGTACCGTACCGCCTTCTAGCAGTCAATAAAAAAAGCATCTACTTTATAAATCACTTAAGGAGAAAAAGAACTCATGTCAATAATTGTAATGGAAGAAAGATTTTGCAAACAGGGAAAAAAACAATTTTTTGTTGACTTGTCAAGAAGGAAGAAGCATTTATGTCCAACTTCTTTTATCAGACATATTCATGCTCTTTCTTGTCTCTCGTAAGGACAACATGTTGGTTTCATTCATCAGTTCTTCAGTACTGATTGTGAATATTCCAGTGCAGGTTCTGATTCAGTGGCCACGTTTTCTACCAAGAAGAGGTAACAAGGAGAGTTCGTGATGCTATGAAAGCAACCTTGCATGAGTTAGATGCTGACTGTTCAGCATTTTTCTTTCATTTGTAATACTGGAAAACCACAAATTCTTAAAGCTTTTAATGAAATTGGGAATTATAATATCCAAAATCAATATCTTATACAGCATAAGCTCTACAAGATATTGCCTGGGATATGCTGACATTCTCATTTGGAAATGAGGGATTTTCACACAATGTATCTTACTCTTACAAATACATGACCAAGATAGACAATGTAAATGTGCATGTTTGTATAAATGCCTTTGCTTCATTATATGATATTACAAAAAATATCAGGTTAAAAAAATAAGAGAAGCTTTGGCTGTTGACAGAAAAGCAGTAATAGACTGTAGAGGAAATTATGCGAACCAAACACGTAACAATTTCTGAAGAAACTATTTGTAAAATAGAGTTCATCAGTTCCTTCAAAGAGATAGTGTCTCAGTACCCCTTAAAAAAAATAAGAAATTATCTGCTCGAACAATTAAACATCATTGCATTACACACTATGTACAAAATGACATGCCAAACATGTCCAAAATATTTTATGATGAATTAGTTGACACAGATTATGTTGCTAATGATAATAATTTTGACAGCAAACAAAGATGTGTTCCCAAGATTAATAGAGGACACTGGGGAAGAAGAATTATAGTCACCTTAAAAAAATCTGAAAATCTGTTTCTCTCTTATTCATCCAAGGGGGAAATTTGCCCAGAAGGACTACAGTCAAAAGTCTTTAATCCGGACGTCCATAATCCAGAATGATCTATAATCTGGACATCCATAATCCGGACCTCAAAGCTACAAACTTTCTGCGCATGCATAAACGCATAATACCTTTATGCATGCGTGTTTAATGTATCGGACGGTATAAGCTAAGCTAAAATTATCTATTTCAGTTAATGTTGCAGATTGCGTTGTTCCTTAATCTTCTAATTGGATCCGACTTATTATTATTTTTTCAGACTGTTAGATCAATTTTATAAAAGTAAGCTTGAACTTTCGATTATATCAAAAAGAATTTCCGATTCTGGAGCTGCCAAAGGATCTACAAAGCAAAAGCATGTTTTGATGTCCATCAAACAAAAAGTGGAATTGCTGCAAAAAATGGATAAAAGCATATCCTTTGTTTCTCTAACCATTCCGAAATCTGTTTATCAATTTCCCGCTGCTCTGTGTGTGTGTGTGTGGGGGGGAAGACGTCGCAGCGCACAATGAACTGGAAGTTGATCTGTCAGCACTATCCTCATCTTCAGGGCAGATGTTTTTATTTTATTCAGCTTATAATTCCTTACTAAATGTAGTATTTCATCTCAATGTACTCCGTCATTGATATGACTTAAATCAAATTCCTCGTCATTATAAATATCATGAATACACATTGAATAGTTTTCTGGTCGCAATTTTATAATTTCGACTATGCGTAATGTATGCTTTACGCATGTGTGCGTTGAAAGAAATGTTTAATAAAGTACACTTTTTTTTTTTTAATTTGGATACCCTTTAGATCATAATTGCTCTTTATTTCATAAATTACGGTTTCATATTTTTAATTTTATAATTTTTGCATGCCATCTTACCAGATTTGAATTGATGATCTATAATCCGGAAAAACCAATAATACGGAATCGCCGAAGTCCCGACAAGTCCGGATTAAAGACTTTTGACCGTATTAATTTCATTCTGCATTGATTCAATACAAGCATTGTTTTTCACTTTTCAAATTGTTGCCACCAAATTTTATTGCCCTGTATTTTATTTAAAGAAATTATTATTAAATAAATTTAAAGAAATTAAATAATGAAGAATCTGCATAAATGTATGTATGTTTCTCACACTGTGATAAAACAACGGTACCTACAGCAATCAAATATTGAATAGCTCAATCCTCCTGCGAATATGGGCATCTGGAAGGGCAAATTTGAAATTTGGACTCCGTTTTGTTATCAATTTCATATTTTGTGAAACTTTAATGAATTTTTGATTAACAAAACTTAAGGATTTCAAAGTGAGAAATGGCATCGTTAAACAGAAAAAACATTTTTATCTCCAGCGTACAAGAATGTGTATCGGAAATTCTAAAGATCAGGATATGCTTATTTTAGTATATGTGCTTATTTTATATAATAAATAAGTATAAAGATATGCTTATTTTGGTACTACTTTTATATACGCCCTCAGATGTATGGCATACCCCAGGGCTTAATTTCTAAGATTAGAAGTGCTGGAGCCCTATGAAAGACCGTCAGCAGAGAGGAACAAGAGTAAATAAATAAATAAAATGACTATTAAAACTCCTTAATAATTTTAAAATTAAATAGTTAATTATTATCAAATTAATTAATATCTATGTAATTAATGTTTATAAATTGTTATTTAATCAACAATTATGTATAATTAATTAATTATAATTGATAATTATTAGCCAGTTAATTAATTCTAATTTAATTGATAATTATTAGCCAATTAATTAATTATAATTTAATTGATAATTATTATATAATTAATTATTATTTATTGAAATAATTAAAGATTGAAGTAATTAACTAATTAAAATTAAATAAAATGTAAAGAGATAAATTGAAATTTAATACGCGATATTTAATATAATTTCATTGTTAAAATAATATTTTCGAGATAAAGATTCTACTGAAATTGTTATTTAACTACATAAAAGAAGTGCCGCAGCCTTCTTATTCAGGGCTCTGGTGCGTTCTGGCTAGAATTATAATTTATTACAAAAAATAAGAAGCACTGGAACCGAAATCCGGTGGGTTCCGGCCCAATTTAAGTTCTGATCGTAGGGGGGAAGTTCTTTTATCATTACAAAATTAAATATACTTAAAGTACAGCTGATGAAAATTCCAGGGCGAAACAGAATGAGGGTAGGAGTGGGTAGAAACATAAAATGAGGGGAATCTTGGTGAGAGAGAACGTTCTCTTTGACCGCGGCTCTCTGTTGATATAATTATAGCCATCAAGCAGATGGGTGTCA